ACGTATTAAAGTTTATACATACCAATAAATGCTTGTTAAATATAGGCATTCAATCGGATATCGACCTAAGGATTATGCGTAAGACAGGGCACAAACACATTGCAGGTTTGAATGATAAAAAATTTTTTAGCCACGTATAATTATTTTTCTATTAATACAACAATGATAAAAAATCATAACAATACATATACAAATAAAAAAAGCCGAAATTATATTGAAAGTGGCATATCTTTAGAAAATAGAAGCATGGGTGTAAGGTTTGTAACGAATGCAATCACCATTCACATCTATATTGCAAAACATGCAAAAAAGTAGCGAATGGAATATATTAGCGATGTGAATGTGAAAATTCTCAAATGATTAATGTGTTAGAATAAATTCCGTATATAAAATTTATCTGTATCACCTTCGTTATGCATAACTTATTTGTGAGACAGGGCACAATTCATAGGAAGACATTCATATGATTGGTAGATCTACCCGTGATTTCCCGTGATAATTAACCAATCAAATACACAATTTTTAATTAATACTACAGTACAAAAGAAACTTTGTATAAAGAAGTTTACAAACTAATAAATACACGTGAAAGAATTTATTATTTATATGTAAAGAATAGGTAGATACGCATAAAGTGTGTAAATATAATATTTATTGCTAATAAACCCAAACTCATTTAAGAATCTACTATATAAGATAAATTAAACCTAACTATTAATTTACAGTTGACAAACTCAAACACACTACAAGAACCGACCAAATTTAAATATTAAACTCAGATCTTCTTTGCTAAAGAGCTTGTACCTATTCAAAATAAACAGTTAGAAATAAAAGTTATTTAGATCTAATATAATAAAAATAGTTTAAGACGAAAATGTTTTTAGTTACCTTTACTCTATAGTATAATTTGGTATGGTCCAATAAACGGTAGGCATATTTTGTCTTCTAAGTAAAGTTCATGGAGATGCTGATTATTACTGATTATTTTTGTATAGTGAATATAGACATTCTATCGAAACGAAAAATAGCTTTTGCAGTAATTTTTTGTTAGTGAAACATTGTGTTCTCAAAAAGTACTTTAAAGTGTATAAATAAGTTACCCAGGCAATTGATTTACATCAGCCAATCAGACGAATGTCCTCCTATGAGGGCACAATCTCAAAGTGCTATTTTTCATTTTTCGACCGGGGCGCCTGGCTGAAATTAGTATGTGTTAGCCCAATAAATTTACTTCAGTAGTTAAAAATCTGTCAAATTCCGATTCAATTAATTAACACATCTTTATATGTAAAAACCTCTGATGAAAGCATTCAGCAATAACATATATGATCGTGATTTGTGTATATCTGTAAGTGCTATTTCTTCCAGAAAAATTTGAGTCAATACTGTATCACCATTACACAAATGACATATTGATATAAAAATTTATCGAAATTTCCAAATGCAGGGTCGACTTCGAGATTTACTACGTACGTAGTTATGTTATCTATTATTATCTGTTATTATGACGGAACATTACTGTTTCAAAATCACATATATTAAAAATGCACGTGTGATCTGTTGTACGACAATCAGATTGTTTGTAAAAAATTTTCGTTTTGCAAACAATCATGTCTACTTCTACTTTTTCCGGAAAAAAAGAATCTCTTCCTGCTATAAACATAGTAGATGGATGGAATACGGAGACGCTAATCGGATTTTTGAGCAAGCAAAACTTAAAACTCAGGGAGGATCATTTCGAGGTTCTTCGTAAACAGGAAATTGAAGGCTCAGACCTTCTCAAGTCAAACCAGGAAGCACTTGAAAGATGGGGAATGCCAGGTGGACCGGCACGGAGAATTGTGGAATTAGTAAATAAAATCAAGAACGAAGGACAGGGTAAGTAGTATCATGACTGCATTCGAAGACACAAAGTGTCGAGTCTCTGACTCATATTCCAAACCTATACTGCTTTCTCCGCAATAATTTCATTTACTAACTTGTGCCTCATACTTTTTTTTCTGTTATATAGCTATGACTGCATCAAATCAGAAGTTGCAAGAATTAAGAGAAAGGCTAGCAATATTACAGGCGTCTAAGGCTAAAAGGGAAGGTATATATCACTATCTCCAAAAATCTATTACTATGTTCTCGTATATTGTTTACGTCAATTAATATAATAAATTTATTTTAAGCTTCTATATACTTCCGATACTTTGATTCAGAAATAATAAGTCTTAGCTCCGAAGGTTGGGAGGATTTTACACAGTTATATGCTTATTTAGAAAAAGCTTTCGATCTCAAGGGCTTGTTGACTGCTTATAAGTTTTCTATCAGCGATAAGCTCATAGATCTTAGCTGGTCTAAAAGTGTCTTTATTGATTTTATCGAAAAACATAAATGTTCGGTTAATAATCCAATTATAATTTTAGAAAAAAAGAAAGGTATAATATTTAGTTATTTGTAAATCGTAAATAAACTGAACTAATACAATCTTTTCCTATAGTTAAAAGATTATACTTTGATATGCTAAATTCCTTACCAGCACCATCAAAACTTGGGGAACCTGAGGAATGGTACAAACGACAGAAAACTACTGCTGTTGATGCTATTTGTCTTAACCACTGCCCACCAACAGCCTCTAGCTCCATACCTGTTAGCTTGCTTTGTTCGATTTTTGGAAAATTTAAGGATTTATATGATGAGCTTTCAGAAAGTGAAGACAACCTTTTTGCTCATGATTTTTGTTTCGAGATGGCAAAATGTTATAATTACAAATCGGAGCATCAAAATAGGGCAAATGATATGCTATCTAAATATCTTAAACGCCCTGTACAACCAATTGTAACTGAAAATAATTACCGTACTGATGGTACTATATGTTATGGGCAAGGTTCTAATGCATATCGCGAGGTTAATATAGAATACAAAAAGCATAACTGTAGCTCTGATACTTGTCCTTATCTTGAAAATTGTAGATATTTTCTAGCTTTTTGTGAAGAAAAAGAAAATCATCTCGCCTACCATGTGACTAATTTTCCATGCTTTTTAATCATAATTTCTGGTATAGTAGTAAGTTTACTTTAATCTCTTTTTCAGAATATGTGACTAACTTTACTTTTTTAGGACCTTACTTTTCTGTTTCCAGTGCTGTGTTTGCAGATATTGCTATAGTTGATCTGCTCACTCCAGTCTTTTATCTTATCTGGCAAAAATATGACGAAACGATGATGGTATCAATTGCCAAAACATTTCGTGCTTTGAAGATATCTCTCCAACTTCTCGATCAATATTATGCTAATGTTGATGAATTAATCCAAGACGAACCTCAAACTGTCCATCCTATGCATCCTGCATTTCCGGAAGTGATTATAGATGATAAATCTTACATAGTTCAGATTAATTTCCAAGTTAGCACAAATCTTCTTTAGGAAGTTACACTTTTAAATGAGCAAGGTCCTCATCTTACAGCCTATGTAAAAGCTGTTCAAAAACATCAATATTCACTTAATACACATGAGATCTTAGCTGAAGTTGGATACACTTCAAAAGTCTTTACCACTTCAGTAATTCCCAGAAATTGGATTTTGGTTTATATAGAATACCTAAACAATCATTCAATACTAAATCACACCTCTAACCTTGATGATCAAGAATGAAGTTCTTTGGGAAAAAAAATAAAAGGGGTAGTCGAACATTTGCATAATTTAGGATACATTCACGGAGACTTGCGTGAAGGGAATATTATGATTTATCGACTTGGAGGTAACGAATTTGATGTGAAATTGATCGATTTTGAATGGTCAGGAAAGGTTGGTTCTGCATATTATTCTCTCTTCATGAATCGTAAAACTATTCAATAGCCTGATGGTGCGGAAGATTGGAAATTGGTTACAAAAAACTATAACTTTTTTATGTTAGAGCAGACTCTTCGGAAAAAAAATTTGATATAAAATGGAACAGATATTGGATAGTATGTATTTTGATTTATTAAGAGGAGTGGATCAAATAAGTTTAGTGTAGAGGAACGTTACAGCCCAATATTTGTTATTCTTAGCATGTAATATTAAAATTTTCGTATAATAGGTTTTACTCAATAAAGCTGGCCCTGGTGGCCGATTTTGCATACATAATCATGTTTACTTTTGCATGTGTATTTCAGAAATTTATTTATTGTATCGCGGGCTACGTCCTGATCTTGTATTTATTTTTGCATGTATGAATAAAAATTTTCTTGGTAAATTTCGCTTACAGGCCGTGAGGAAAAACACATGATTTTTTTATTTTGAATATATCGCATAATTTGTCAAAAGTAATGACAAACACTCACCCTGTTGATTCATTAAGAGAATTAAATGCTAAACTCTTAGTTGAAATTGTAGAGCTTAGAAAGGAGAATGCTGAGATCCCTGATTTTAAAAGGAAGTTAGCCGAGTTTGAATCAGAGAAAGTTGAGCTTAAGGCCAGGCTTTCCGAAGCCCTAAGTCAGGCTGTGGAAGAGAGTAAAAGACGTGATGCTGAGAATGCTGAACTCAAGGCTAGAATTGAGGAGTTAGAAAAAAATAAGGCAGATTCTTCAGCTGAGAATATTAGGCGTGATGATGCAATTGCCGAGCTTAAGGCCGAAGTAGTGAAACTAAGGGACGACAATGAGGGGAGCAATTAGATCACTTTTCCACTATCTTGTGTGAGTGATCAAAAGACATTGGAGGACAGGAAAATGGACACTTTCTTGGACGATACACATAAGAAAAGCGTTAGTGATTGGATAAGGAGATGCAATAAGGAGAAGAAACTTAGCAAAGCAGAGCAAGCATCTCTTAACCAAGATCAAGAATTTGATACTGAGTGTTCTACTTCTGAAAAGATACTGGAGGTATCAAATCCCGTGACTAAAATTTTAGCCGGGGCCCCGGCCAAAATAGCTATAAGAAGAAAGGTACAGAAAACATCGTACAAATGATAGCTGATGGTATTAAGGATAATGCCCAATAGAGTGACAAAGCCACTTCTTGCGATGTGATTTCAATTGAGAGTCTCAACCAAAATTCATCTACAGATTCATTGATTTCTCTAGCACAATTATTCGATAAAGCAGATGATGCTGAATATGGTGCAATTCGTGCTAATCAGGAAGAGGTTTTGCGCTGGTATTATTATAGAAAAGAATTTTTAACCCAGGTTAGTGCGATTGTACAAGATGGAAAAGGCAAAATAGGCAAAAAAAAAGCAAAGGGGATAATTTATAATAAAATGTTGGAACACCTATCTATGTTGCGAAAGCAACGATCTGAAGAGACAAGATTGCGTCTCCCAGAAATATCTCGTAAAAACTTACAAAGGAAAACTCAGAAAGCTGTAAAGATATATAAATTATTTGAAAAGGTAGGTGTAGATAATATTAAGTATATTATGACATATAGTACGAACTCTATTTCTGAGTTGACTAATGATAAAGTTCAAGATATCATAGATAATTTCTTTAAGCATAATGATAACGATAACACTAATGTGGAAGAAGTATCAAGTCACATGACTAAGATTTCAGCTGGGGCCCGGCCAAAATTTAGCTGAGGTAAGTGAATTAATCACACCTATTCCTATTACACATGGCTCTAATTCTTTAGGTAATTCATCATTCACACCTCAAATCGCTCCAGCTGAGGTAGAGAATCATGATGACTATGATGAGGTATATTATGATAATGAGGCATGTTTTGATGATCCCACACCTCAGTCAGAGAAAGGGACTAATGAAGTTCAGATAGTCGATGATAGTGATTGTAGCCA